TTCAACTACGATTATATGTGTGTTATTCAACTACGATTATATGTGTGTTATTCAACTACGATTATATGTGTGGTTTTCAACTACGATTATATGTGTGTTATTCAACTACGATTATATGTGTGTTATTCAACTACGATTATATGTGTGGTTTTCAACTACGATTATATGTGTGTTATGCAACTACGATTATATGTGTGTTATTCAACTACGATTATATGTGTGTTATTCAACTAGAGTAGTGTTTTCTGTAACACCGCGCGTAGCATTTAGATCTCTACTTCACTCACCATACCGACGTCGCCCCTACAGTAGCTAAATGCAGCCAGTATAGTATTATTTCGTCCATGGTAGTGGCAGTTCTTGGAAGGACGAGCTAACTTCTCTTGTGAAGTTTCGGTTGATTCCACAGCGGTAAAATTAGGCGATAATAAATGGTTATTTAATTTTAACGTCAACCCTACTTGCTGCCCAAATACATAGGTTCGATATTCAATATAATTTTCGTCCATACTCCTTTCACCAAGCCTATGGCGCATACGTACATGTATGACTTGATACTCTGGAACTGGAAAAAATAAACCATTTTGAGACTTTTAAACCGTATATAAAAGAAATATATATATAAGTTATTATTAAATGTTTTACATTGTGGGTGAAGCTTCAGTCCTTTCTAAAGATCAGATTTACATTATATGTTAAAATTGAGTTTTTCTGCAGAACATATTTACATTGTGAATGAAGCTTGAGTTATCGAATTTAAAAAATATATAATTGATAGAAACTGAGTTCTTTCTAAAAACTAGATTTACACTGCGGATAATGACTGAGTTCTTCCTAAACATTAGATTTACACTGCAACTAGAGACTGAGATCTTTCTAAAAATTGGATTTACACTGCGGGTGAAAACTGAGTTCTTTCTAAAGACTAAATTTACATTGTGGGTAAAAATTAAGATCTTTCTAAAGGCTAGATTTATACCGCGGATAAAGGCAGAGTTCTTTCTAAAGACTATATTTACACTGTGTGTAAAGACTGAGCTCTTTCTGAAGACTAGATTTACACTGCGGTTAAAGACTGGGTTCTCTCTAAAGACTAGACTACATCGCGAGTAAAAACTTAGTTCTTTCTAAAGGCTAGATTTATACCACGGGTAAAATACTTTCTTTTTAAAGACTAGATTTACACTGCGGTTAAAACATGGTTCTTTCTAAAGGCTAGATTTATACCACGGTAAAATACTTTCATTTTAAATACTAGATTTACACTGCGGTTAAAACATGGTTCTTTCTAAAGGCTAGATTTATATCACGGTAAAATACTTTCATTTTAAATACTAGATTTACACTGCGGTTAAAACTGAGTTTTTTCTAACGACTATACTTATACTGAGTGTAAAGACTAGAGTTCTTTTTAAAGACTAGACTTACACTGCGGTAAAGCTTCAGCTCTTCCTAAAGACTAGATATATACTGCAGGTAAAGATTGAGTTATTTTTAAAGACTAGACTTACACTGCGGTAAAGCTTCAGCTCTTCCTAAAGACTAGATATATACTGCAGGTAAAGATTGAGTTATTTTTAAAGACTAGACTTACACTGCGGTAAAGCTTCAGCTCTTCCTAAAGACTAGATATATACTGCAGGTAAAGACTGAGTTATTTCTAAAGACTAGATTTACACCGCTGGTAAAGCTTGAGTTTTTTTTATAAAAACCAAATCTGTATTGTATGCAAAGCAGCTTGCGTTTCTCGTTAGTAAGAGAAATAAGGTAATGTGATTATTATTAGTGTCATACCTTCGGTGTGCTCCTCAACATCAAACGTTCTTCTTAATTCATCCTTATTCATCATTTCGTGTAGCTTCTTTTCGGGCTATCGATAAACAATAAGAATAGTTAATTAAACTATGGATGAAAATTTTGTTTAAACGTACATCATACAGTTAAGTGGTTCTCAACCTTTGTAATTCCGAGGACTGGCTGAATCTATTAATAGTTTATATGTTGTTTTCTAATCTATTTTCTTAAAGAAGTTTTGAAGTGAAAGTTATGAGATTCATTCATTTTAAAATACTAAGAAGGAAACAACTTTTTTCACCTTTTCCTAGCACAAATTTCACAAGAAAAATGTTTCTTTCACAATACTTTTTAATCATTTTGTTTTCTCGCTGGATGTATCTTTGGACCAGAGGCAAGAACCATTACTATAGTTTGATCTCTGCTTTCCTTAAAAATAAATGTTAAATTACTTGAACCTGATTGGTCTAATTAAGTTCTTTCCTCAAATACATAGCAAGTAATGCTATATATAAAATTTACCTTTCTTTAAACCTCTCAAGTAATATATATATATACCTTATCTCCAGAAATCCATCGATGCGACTCAGTTATTATTTATGTAAAAAACTCAGAAAATCCCATCAATTCAAATGTTATTGCAGATAAATTATATTGAAAGAAACTTACTATGTTAATCTCGACGTTCCAGACTTGGGGTAAAATACATGACATCATATGCAACACAAAAAACAACTTCGTAGAAAATCTCGGCTGGATTACTTTTCGATACCGTTGTGAGATATCTCCATTTTGGTCCATTATGTTGTTTAACTCTAAAAGTGAACTGAATTGCGATATCTTTAATATATAAAACAATATAGAAGTTACAGAAATGGTGTTATTCTAATTAATTATGAAGTATATATACATACAGATAAAGTTAGTATGAGCGACTCCTCTAAAGAATAGTCAGGAAACTAGATCGCAAAAAATTGTTCAAGTTAAAAAAGAAACAGATTTGTTATGCCTTGGTAGCAAAGAACCACAGCAACGCAACAATCGGACATGGTGTAAGATATCAGAAATGTTAATGTTTAAAATTATTAATAGTCTGATCCATCTAGACTTACAGTATTGCCAAACTAAGGTATGAAAGTATATAGCAAACAGAAAACAAAACAAAAATATGTGAAGATGCTGTTTCGAAATAACTTTAGTATTTCATAAGCAGACCTATCAGACTTAGGGTCTTAAATAAAATCTAGCTTATAACGAAAAAAAGAACAAACAAATAACATAGCGAAAAATATCTTTCATCGACAAGGTTTTCAGTCGAAATAGCATCTTAATCAACAAAGTTTTCAGACTTGAAGTAGTAGCTTAATAAAAAGGTTTTCAAACTTGAAATAGCATCTTAATCAAGAAAGTTTTCAGACTTGAAATAGCATCTCAATCAATAAAGTTTTCAGACTTGAAGTAGGAGCTTAATAAAAAAGTTTTCAAACTTGAAGTAGCAGCTAAACCAGTAAGGTTTTCAGACTTTAAGTAGCAGCTTAATCAACAAGGTTTTCAGACTTGAAATAGCAGTTTAATCGATAAAGATTTCCAACTTGAAGTAGCAGCTTCATCAAAAAAAGGATTTTCAAACTTGAAATGCGTTTCTAGTTGTCATATGAATTGAAAAATATAGTTATTGAATGCTAACATTTGGAGTTCGATCCCTGTGACAGTCACAGCATAGATAATCCATTATGAAAGTTTTTGTTTGTTGTTAGGCGCAAAGCTAGAAAGTGATTTAAATCAGTGGGGTATCATTTTGAAGCTTAACAACAAAGTAACAACTTATTGAATGAATAACGAGACTTGACATAATTCACATGCATATGTTGTTCATAGACTTGCCTCCCAGTGGCACAGCGGTATGTCTGCGGAATTACAACGCTAGAAACCGTGTTTCGATACCCATGATGAGCAGAGCACAGAAAGCCCACAAATTCATAGATTTACTTCATATAACTCATCTATAATTTCTCAAGTTGAAAATCAAACAAAGTTGAGTAGAAGCCAGAAAATCTAGACAAAAGAATGCAAATAACGATATATTGAGTTACAAAACGTTTTTTCTATAGTTAAACTTAGCCTTTGGAAATTTAGGATAGCTTCACTTGCAAATAAGGAAAAATAAGAGCTAAGAATTTTTTTTCAAGTTATGAAATTATGAGACAGACACAAAACCTTGTAATAAACAAAAATGTTTTTACCTCCCAAGCTTTCATATTGATAGACAGCCCTTCATTAAGGGTAGCGTAATCAAAACGTTAAAACCAATAGTAACTAGAAATTATTTCTAAAATATTTATAATATTAATAAAGAAAATGTGTTATAAGATCACATAGTACATAATCATTATATAGGTAAATCGATCGAAATGCGTATTCGATATTACAGCGCTAAAATCCGGGATTCGTGCCCGCGGTGGACAGACGGCAGATAACCTATTGTATAGCTTTCACTAAAAACAACAACAGCATACTCAGTAATTTGAAAACAACTGAAAGGGTGAGCTGGTAAAGGGATTGTTTTTCTCGTGGTATAACTCGTGTTAAAATATATCTGACTGTCTTTGATATAGAAATAAGAACAAAATACCTCTTATTATTATTTTACCTCGACTACTCTTATTAAATTTTGAACTCACTGGAACAAAACGATGTCGTTTTTGTTTAGTTCTATTTTGTTTAGTTCTATCCGACCCTTACATCTGTTCCGCATTGAAAGTTCTTCGAACCTTTTATCAAGTTCCAACTGAAATTCTTATCGATCATAACAGCAGGTAATTAGTTTAGATAATCAAGCTATGTTATGGCCCTGTATACATGCTGGCACCAGTCACCACTTTCACCCGCAGAAGGAATACAACCCCCCCCCCCCATTCCCAGAAACTAAGATGACACTTGACGGAGATGTAAAACAAGAATTGATGCGGGAGAAATAATTAACGATTTATTAAAATTATAAACACGACTGGGCTAAACTTACAAAAGCCCCTCTACTTAGAACATCATTTCGGTATTTGGAAGTTTATTAAACATCAGGTAATGAATGTGAAATACTTCAAATGTGTAAGTGCATAGCATTACAAATGTTTGGTCATTGGTGTTCCACAGCACTTTTATTAATCAGTTTTGTTTTAGTTTGAGTTACAATATCATGATGATACAATAACAGTTCGAACACATAAATTTTATTTCAGAATAGCAATTTCCATATTTCTCCCCTCCTCCAGTGGCTCAGCGGTAATTCTACGATCTCATAATGTTAAAAATTGGGCTTCGATAGCCGCTGTAGGGAGAAAACAGATAGCCCAAAGTGTAGCTGGGCGCTTAACAACAATTTCATTTAGGCTCTCTTAATGACTATATGATATCTGCAGAACACGAATTAAAAAAAATCAAATATCTACAAATGGTTGTTAAAATATAATAAAAGCACGTCCACATGCTGCATATTTCTTTTATTATATAGTATCTGCCACATCATTAAATTTAGATTTTTGAATTATCTAGTTAAAAACGTATTTTACTTTACTTATCTAGCCATCATACAGCATATTTAATGCAAAAAAATATCTGAAAAAATAAACTTTTATTAACTTTGATAATATATTGAATATGAAATTGAACAATGACCGTTACATTCTCGAAATTTTATATTTTCTGTTTTTAATCTCAAGATTGAGGGTGCACTGCTTATTACTCAGCACAGGTTAAGCCTAGTGAGATTTTAAATTTCAATGTTGAGCAAACATACGTGTGAACTAGTTGTTCAGTGTAGTGTTCAACGTGTCGGAACTTTATTGTATTATTCCTAAATTTCTCCTGTAAGTCAATTTGAAGGATCACTTACTACATTTTATTAATTATAATGAAATCCACTTTAGGCACAACAAGAGAACATCAAAGAGAGTGATTTCAAGTTTCACAATTAATTCAAAACCTCAAAATGACGGAGTCTGACTTCCTTACAAGTTACAGATAGGAACTTTATATTTTGCAAATATATTCGATCTCGTAACTATGAGATTTATTTATTTGCAATAATTATTAATTAATAAGATACAAAACAAATCTTGTTTTGGCAAACTTGATTTTAAGTTAAACAAAGAAGAGAACAGTTATCAATATTCATACCTCAAATATTCTATAACATCTTAACAATACTTAACCACTTTTTTAAGTTTCTCAGCTTGGCATTTGGAAGGAATGATCTAATAAAGAGTATAAATAAATCCATTTTTAAATTTTAAATTAATTTTGCAATTACTTTATCTGGAAAGTAGAATTAAAAATGACTTAATTCATGTTGGAAATCATAAGGTGTTTGGATAATCTATGTATAAGTAGTCTGTTTGTTAAAATATAAGTGTTGGGAACAAAATGAATTATAAATTTACTTGTAGGTGGTAATCGGGTTAAAGCTAATGACTTTTATTTTGGTTACTTGCTTCAATGTATGATGAAAAACCTTGTTGAGTTGAGCTATATCAACTATCACAAAATCATCAAATCTGTGTGATGAATTCATAACTAACCATAATTATGAAATTACTTAAATAACAACATATATTAGGATCAATCATCCCTCACTTAATATAAATAAGGTTAAGGTTACAGTAGCGTAACTAGGTCTCAAAAAGATCCCCACTTGTCGCTTTGCAACCGAGTAACAACTATACTATAATAATAATCAAAAGGTGTATCTTTCTTATGCTTACTAGAAACACCAGTGTTCTTGTATTTGTTTTGGTGTTAAACACTTAGATTGATAGAGAAATATATTAAAAATCATATTTCTGTGTGAAATCATCTAGGATTAAATATTGTTAAATCGTAATAATAGTAATAAATAAATCCGATAACCTGAGCATTTTCAGTAAGTGATGTGCATGGAAAATGAGAATCATTGCCAATGGAAAAAAAAAAGAGATCCACGGTCTATTCAATTTTCTGTGGTTATAAAGGTTTTAATTGATATGGACCAGTTTGATTCAGATAATTATTTTCATTTACCCCTATGCAGTCAGGTCGCTCAACTCTGTTGCTAAGCTTTACTGGGAAAACTGCCTTGCTAAATACCAGTATCAGTTTTTATAATATTCATATATAAACAACTTGTTCGGTGTGCATGCTGACGTTTCGTGTACAAGAAGGAAGTAAATTAGTCTAAAACACAATGAGCCCTCTGTGTTATGCTCACCGCGGGTATCGAAACTCGATTTTTAGCGTTATAAACCCTTAAAATTACCGCTGAGTCACATGGGGGCCAGAAGAACGTACAAAACATAATTTATATTAAATGATTACACGTGGCTTATACTACGTGATAAAAATACGGTTGTAATTACAAATGAGTTATATTATTCACCGAGATTTTATGATTTTTGAAATGTTGTTTTGTTAATTTAAATTCTAATGGATCTCTCTTCAAGTATTTATCCATGTAAATGAGCATAGATTGATCCCTTCCTGCTCAAACTTCAACCACATGTAGTAGTGAAACACTAGATATTTGACTTTTGCACTAGGCACAACAGCAATAAGATGCAATCCACAAGTCAATCCATCAATGTGAAATCAACTTCCGTGGGTTCTATGGTACCATCACTGTTAGGTTTGAAAATTGTCACAGATTAAATGCGTTCATTACCAACATTCATGTTCACTCTACCAATCAACTTATAATTGCCAGCAAAAGTAACATAGACAGAACCATATTCAATGCCTAAATTCATTTTGTAATTGTTCGGTAAAGAGAAAAAGAAAACTCAACTTAACGAAACAAAA